CAGGGGGCCTCACACCTCGGGCGTGCCCGACTCCTGCCACAGCCGCGTCCTCCCAGGGCCCCGGCGGGGCCATCCCTCTGCCACCGCGCGGCAGCTGGTGGCAGCGATCACAGGTGTCAGGGCCGCAGAGAGGGGTTCCGTCCCCGCTCCCATCTGGGAGCCCCTCCGCTGTTAGCGTCAACTCGGCTGACCTTCACAGAGCCAGGTTGGGGCCAGGGACTCGACTTTTCACTTTGCCAGCTGTCTTCAAGGGTCGTTAGTGTTGTAGCATGTATCAGAATTCCCTGCCCTTTTAAGGCAGAGTAATATACGGACGGACCACATTTTGTTTTCCCCTCCATCTGTTGACGGGCACTTGGGTTGTCTCCCCTTTTGGCCAGTGTTGCTAGGAATGTGGGGGAACGAATATCTGTCTGAGTCCCTGCTTTCCGTTCCTTTGGCTGTACACCCGGGAGTGGGGAGTCGCTGCAGCCTTAATTGCTGTGCCTATGCTTCCCGCAGGACGCAGGTCACTGCGCGAAACAGCAGGAGCGGAGGGAGGGCCAGGGGATGGAGGGCGACCGCGTGCCAGGTGCAGAAATGAAATGTCTTCTCTCCCTCAACCCCCACGGGTCCGGCTAGGACCGCGCCCGTGTTGCAGACGGCCTCAGCCACTTTCCAGAGATCACCAGGGAGGAGGCTGGGGCTTGACCCTAAAGCCAGCACCAGTGAGAGTGATCATGGCCGATTGCTGCTATCAGGGAAGGCTTCCTGGAGGCGGGGGCTGGAGCTGTGTATAGGGGCTCAGGATACCCTGGACATACCACAGTACACGTGCTGGTTGGTTTTGTTGCAACTTTATTTGCAGAAACTCTTCTTCCCCAGTGGTTGAACCCCCAAGTCGTGGCCTTTTCCAGCCATCCCCAGGGCACCTCCCACCATCCCCGGGCCACCTCCCACCGTCCCATGGCCTTCTATACTGCCCCTTGGCTCCTTTTCCCCCTAGGTGTGCTGAAATGATCATCAGCATGGACAGCAGCCAGATCCACAGCAAAGACCCTCGCTATGGAGCCAGCCCCCTCCACTGGGCCAAGAACGCAGAGGTAGGCAGAGTCTGAGGGTGAGTGGTGGGGGGGAGGGGGCAGGGGGCAGGGTCCCAGGGCCCCATGTTCCTCAGCTGCCTGCGGGAAGGAGGTCCCTGAGATGATTCTGGGGGGTTGATCTCATAGTGGTCCCGCAGGCTTTGCTGCTCGCAGGCTCAGGGCCCTGTCTGTGGGTTCTTTGTGTATGAATTGGGGGTCCTATGGCCTGGCTTTGGAGGCATGAAATCAGCGAGGTGACGTGTGAGAAAAGGCTTCATAAAGTGCCAAACAGAAGTTGGTGCTGGTACTGGCTGTGCCCACAGAGAGCCTGGTGGCGCAGTGATTCCACGGGCCGCCCCTAAGCCAAGCTCCATGCCCCTGGGAGGGTGGAGGCCTCTGGTCCCTCACCTCCAGGAAACACAGCTCAACAGGGCCCTGGATGCCCCAGAGATTGTGGTCCGTTGTGACGGGCCAGGAGGGAGGAGATTGCCAACTTCTGCAGGGTACCTCCTTCCTGCCCTGAGCTAGAGGCCAAGTCCGGCCTTTCGTGTTCGAGTGTACGAGTTGTCATTCGTTGTCACCCCTCTGTGAGGTAGGGACTTGCATTTCTATTGCCACAGAAAACTGAGGTCCAGAGGGTGTGACGGCCTACCCAAGCTCCCAGGGCTGGGAGGAAGTAAGGCTGAGCTGTGGGCTCAGGACTGTCCAGCTCCAAAGGCCACACCCCTCCCCAGGTCCCAGGCTCCCAAGGCCACGCCCCTCCCCGTGTCCCAGGCTCCCCAGGGCTGTGGGGCGTGCAGGGGCGGGTGTCGCCAAGGCCCAGGGAGTGGCCAGACTTTGGCAGGATCCCAGGGAAGGTCACAGGGAGCAGGGCAAGTTGTGGGACTTTGCTGAGATGTGTGGGGTCCTGTTAGTTCCAGGAAAGGACCGGGAGCTCCTTAAATCAGCCAGCACAAATCAGCTCTTTGTCCTCTAGCGTCCTGCTGATGATGTGGGAGCCAAGATGTAGGGCCACCCCCAGAACTGGGGCCTGCCACCTGAGTTCTTGTTGCTAGTGCTTTCCGGAGGCCCGATACCTGATGGCCGCTCAGGGCGGCAGTGGCAGCCCCCACGTGTCGCCGGCCCCTGCTGCCCTTAGTGACCGCCTCCTTGGGCGCGGACCCTTTCTCCCGCAGATGGCCCGCATGCTGCTGAAGCGGGGCTGCGACGTGAACGGCACCAGCAGCTCGGGGAACACAGCCCTGCATGTGGCCGTCATGCGCAACCGCTTGGACTGTGTCATGGCCTTGCTGACCTACGGGGCCAACGCCAACGCCCGCGGAGAGCACGGCAACACGCCGCTGCACTTGGCCATGTCGGTGAGCCTGCAGGGGTGGGTGGGGGGCTACCCGTTGCTCCCTCCCTTGACACCCTCTTCCTTTCCCCGCCCCTCAGAATCTTCTTACCTGCCTACACTCCATTCAGACCTGCCTTCCCCCTTAGGAACCTTCCGTGTCCCCCTTTCAGCCCAGAGTGTCGTCTCCTTCCTCTATGCCCCTGTCCCTCTGGCTCCCGCGTCCCCCATGTGACGAGTGCATGGTGCGATGGCTCTGGCTACCCGCCGTGGCCTTGGGCAAGTCACGTCATGTCTGTCAGCCTCGATTTCCTCATCCGGAAACCGGGGTGTCGGTACTGGCTGCGGAGTGAGCGGTGGATGCTCGGTAACCCCAGGAGGAATGTCCAGACGACACATGTGGTACCTAGCACCAGTGGGCAACCCTCAGATGTCACTTCTCCTCTGCTGCATCAGGGAAAAATACCCGTCTGCATACTGTTTCTATCTCCTTGGGGGGGGGCTGTAAGCTCCTGGGAGGCAGGGTCTGCTTGTACATCTCCGTGGCCCATGGTAGGTGTTGGCCGCGGCTTTTGGTTTATTATAGAGCAGAGTTCCCCCCTCCAGTCTGGATAGACAACTGGAGTATGAACATAAGGAAATCAGGGAAGGGACTCTTACTACGTTACGGATGTGTGTGTATTCCCATTCTGTACCAATACCGTGTATACATAAGTATGTTCAACAGATTTCCAAGTGATGGAGTTGGAGAGGCATCTGGGACTCTAAAAGTAGATTTGGGGCACCTGGGTGGCTCAGTTGGTAAAGCATCCGACTTCGGCTCAGGTCATGATCTCACGGTTCGTGGGTTCGAGCCCTGCGTCGGGCTCCGTGCTGACAGCTCAGAGCCTGGAGCCTGCTTCGGATTCTGTGTCTCCCTGTCTCTCTGCCCCTCCCCTGCTCATGCTCTGTCTCTCTCAGTCTCTCAAAAATAAGTAAATGTTAAAAAAAAATTTTAAAGATGTAGATTTAGGGCAAACTCAAAGACATCCTGTTTTATAGCAAAGGCCATCACTGTGGTGGAGACACTGTTACCCTGGGAGGTGGAAACTGTAAATGAAACCATGGCCATTTTCAGCACTGAATGAGCCATTAGAATGATCTAGTCCATCAGTTCTCAAAATTTTGGGTCTATGTGGTCCCTTTATAGTGTTAAAAATTAATTATTGAAGAGCCCAAAGATTTTTTTGTTTATATGGATTTTATCTATCTATATTTATTAGATTGGAGTTTAAACATAAGACATTTTCAAAATATTAATTCACTTACTAAAAAAATTTTTTTAATGTTTATTTTTGAGAGAGGGACAGAGCATGAGTGGGAGAAGGACAGAGAAAGAGGGGGAGGCACAGAATCCCAAGTAGGCTCCAGGCTCTGAGCTGTCAGCACAGGGCCCAACACAGGGTTCGAACTCACGAACTGTGAGATCATGACCTGAGCCGAAGTCAGACGCTTACCGGACTGAGCCACCCAGGTCCCCCTCAAAATATCGATTCATTTAAAAATAACAATTCACCAATCACAAGCTAGCCAAATTAAATAACATTTTTATGCAAAACAACTTTATTTTCCAAAACAAAAAACAATCCAGAAGAGTTGGCATCCTTTTAAATCTTTGTGAATCTTTTTATTGCCTGGCCTCAGAGAAGACATACTGAGCCTCCTATCTTCTGCTACATTTATTCTCTTGCAATATGTTGTTGAATATATGTTGGGGGATAAGAAGAAAATCTGGCCTCCCAATGCTATGTTGGAAAAGATACACAGTTGCACCTTTTCAGAGAGTCATGGATATTCTTTGATGTTGCACCAAAACTGGACAAGGGTAGTTTCTGACAAGTCAGTTGCAGTGGGCAGAGCAGCCATCTCCAGGAGCTTTTCACACTTTGTTACATTAAACACTTTATTCCACTGGTATCTCTTGCACTTGGCATGGATCTCTTACCCATGCGTAATTTCCTTGGAAAATACCGGTTCACCATGTATGCGTAGAAACGGCGACCCATTTCATCAGACGCTAGCAAAACCCCACATTTGTAAATATCCCCACTGATCTCATCAGAAAAACCTTTCAGTTTGGGGAAGCCGTCAAAGCTGTCAAGCCCACTTGTGGCATATACAAGTTTTCTGGAATTGCCATTTTTGTTTGCAAGCTTGAATTTTGTCGTTGGCACAAAATATCGTCAGATGTTTTTCTTGAAGTGCCAGGCTCACTGCGTTCATTTTTGAGAACACGTCTTCTGGATACCCAAGGCTGAACAATCATAGTTTGTCAGTCATGGTCTCAAATGAAAATGGTGTTCCCGGGGGAAAAAACGTGTGCTTCTGCTCACAACTCCAGCAAATTGCCGACGTGCTTTTCCTCAAGATAACAGTTGTACTCTGGTATGCCACAGAAATGCCCAGGCTTTCTCTCTATCTTACAACACAAGGACACAATGTCAAATCGTAATAAAATTCATTCTTACTGCTTCATGAAGGGCATTCCAAAGTGACACTGGCTTTTTAATTAATTGGCTGATTTTTTAAAATGTCTTTATTTATTTTTGAGAGAGAGAGAGAGACAGAGTGCAAGCAGGGGAGGGGCACAGAGAAATGGAGATACAGAATCCAAAGCAGTCTCCAGGTTCTGAGCTGTCAGCACAGAGCCCAACGCGGGGCTCGAACTCAGGGACCATGAGATCGTGACCTGAGATGCTTAACCTATTGAGCCACCCAGGCGCCTGTTAATTGGTTGATTTTTTACTGCTAGTGAGTGGCAGAGAAGAACACCACAACGGTGTCACCGTCTTGCTATGGCACTAGGAGCTTTATCCATCATTGTTTTTATGCCATCAGTGCTAAAGTCAACACAATGCAAGAAGCAAACACCATCTTGATAGTCTTATGAAAGCAGGTTTTTTTTTTTAATTTATTTTTAGTAATCTCTACGCCCAACTTGGGGCTCAAACTCACAACCCCAAGATCAAGAGCTGCACACTCTTCCAACTGAGCCAGCCAGAGGCCCCTGTGAAAACAGTGTGAACCTCACAAAACCCTCTAGAGGGTCTCACACGTTCGGTGGGGGGCGGGGGGGGGCACATGTGTCACTTTGAGGACTGCTGACATTCACTGGTTCCCATACCTCAGGAACTTGCAGACCGGCCTCACATTTTTTGGCACGTTGATGTGTCACTTGCACAATTAGTGCTTAATCATTTCTTTAAGTTGGTTTGCTTTTATTAACTTATTTTTATAAAGTTGTTATTTATTTATTTTTAGAGAGAGTGAGAGCACGTGTGTGCACCAGCCAGGAAGGGGCAGAGAGAAAGAGGGAGAGAATCCCGAGCAGGCTTCACGCTGTCGGTGCAGAGCCCAATGCTGGGCTCGATCTCACAAACCGTGAGACCATGACCTGAGCTGAAATCAAGAGTCGGCTGCTTAACCCGCTGAGCCGCCCAGGCGCCCCTAAGTTGGCCTGCTTTTAAATCTTACTTAAATTTATTTCAAAGGAGATGTTCTGTCGCCACCGTAAGGGGTAAACCAGTGACACGAAAAGAAGGAAACCAAAACAGAAATGCATAACTAATGACTCAAGCATGCATAATCACCAGTGCCCATATAAATCCTAATGTACATGAACCACTATTTGGAAAACTGCATTCTGGACACAAGTCTTCATTCTCCAGGCCAGGAGATCAGGCCCCAGGAAGAGGGAGGTGATAAGACCAGAGCGCGGTCTCCAGGCAGCCAGTTGATTGGCTTGTTCTGGGAAAGCACGCCCCACCCTGCCCCGCCCAGCCTCCGATGTTAAATGCACAATGCGCTTTGGAGGCAAGCTGCCCTTGGAGGTTGCCGTCAGGGAGGATGTGTGCCCAGTTACCTCCTCAGAAGTGGCACCCTAGACCTGATGGACAAGACAGCCTTCCCTTTCCCCGCTCACCCTTTGCTGCTGCTTCTGGAAGTGATCAGCAGCTGACCCTTCGGTGGCCCCGTGGCCCCTGGGGCGGGGGTCATAGATGCACTGCTTCCTTCCAGGAGCTGGTGGGGCTGGCACCTGGGGTGAGTCACTTCCAGCTTCTGCCTGGGTTATTAAACAGGTGGGGGACCTGAAGGGTTCTAGCACCTTCTGCCGTGCCGTGAGAGGCCCGCCGAGTCGGTAGGCAGAGCGGAAGCGGCTGGCGTCCTTTTTCTCTTCCTTTCCCTGAGCCGTTGGATTTTCCCCTCACTTCATCCCCAACAGAAAGACAACGTGGAGATGATCAAGGCCCTCATTGTGTTTGGGGCAGAGGTGGATACCCCAAATGACCTCGGAGAGACTCCTGCTTTCATAGCTTCCAAGATCAGCAAACGTAAGTGCCCTGCACTCCGGTCCCAGAGTTGGGCAGGGGTGGTGGTGGTGATGCATGCACTGGGGAGGAGGGGTGGTCCCAGCAGCCCGGCACCAGCATCCTGTCCGTACCCACCCCACTTGCTCCCTGCGTGGGGTTTCCAGGAGCACCTGGGAGGCAGAGAGGGGAAGCTTCCTGTGCCCGAGCACAAGGGCCATACCCAGTAGGTGGGACCCTCCAAGGGGCTTGCCAAGCCAGTGTCCTCTTCTGTGCCACCCTCATCCCACCTCCGGGTGCCAGGACTCGGGGGGAGGCAGGTGGGGGAGGCAGTAAGTAATTCCCGGATGGAGCCACTGGCAGGAAGAATGGTGGGTGGATGCATGCCCGCTACACGAGTGTGTGTGCACGCGGGCTTGAGGCACACACTGCATGCTCGCTTGGTGAGCCCTGGCATCAGGGCTGGAGAAAGATCATCCTCAGCAGAAGCCCGGGCCCCCTCGGGGGGTTTCAGGGAGCTGTGGAGGCTGCTGTGGGCGCGCAGGTGACTGTGTGTGCGCACTTGTGTGTGTGCTACTTCCTAAAAACATCCTTTTCAGTTACCCTGTCTGTTAGAAGAGGGTAAATGCCCACGGACTGGCTCGTCCCTTTCGAGCCCTGGGAGGGACTCGGCATTCGGCAGTTTTGAGAATTGCCGTACGTGCAGCCCTGACACGGGGCGCGATCCCACAAACCACAAGATCATGACGTGGGCCCAAATCACGAGCTGGACTCTTAACTGACTGAGCCACCCAGGCGCCCCATTGTCGTGGTTTTTTGTTTTGTTTTGTTTTTTACTGTTTTTAAATTTTTGATTTCTGACTGTTCACGGTAGTTTGTAGAGATGTGTGTATGGAGGGGGGAGTCCTGTTTTCTTGACCAGAAGTGAAGGGAAAGAGGGGGACCCCAAATACGCGGACCGGGTAAC